TTAACAGTAATCTTTGGAGGTTCCAACTGCCTGGGTTTTTTTTGTTTGTTTGTTTGATTTTCACAGAAAATTCTATTTATCTTGGCTTCCCCCCTTCCTCTTCAGAGCAGTCTCAGAATTATTTGAGATGCTGTGTCCCAGGCTGAAGTCTCCAATTTTGTGCATCAAATAAAAAATATAAGGCTCACTGTTTAGGTTGTGTGTTTTTTTTTTTCAGTCAACACTATATATGGTGATAATGTTAACTTAGACTTATGTGGTGATCATTTCCCAATGTATAAAAATATGAAATCATTATGTTGTACATCTGAAACTAACATGTTATATGTCAATGATATCTCAATAAAAACATGTTTAAAAAACAGATTAATGTTCATTAACACATGCTTCCCTGGTTTCTTATTTCTAAAGGCCATGACCAAGGCTTTCACTTTTAACTCTAGGAGGCATTGCATCATCTGACACATAATAGACACTCAAAAATTATTTTTGAAATGAAAGAATGAGGGGGAAAGAAAAAGAAAATCACAGGATTAGTGGTTATACATGGTGTAACCTCTCTAAATTTAGTTTCCTCAACTGTAAAAAGTGACAGGTTTAGATGAAACTCTCTGCTTCTTCCTGCTTTAAAATATTTCTGGATTTTAAGGAAATATTAATAGGAGCAACCCAGTGATCTGTCAAGACAGAGTCACCTAATATTAAATTTCACAAACTACACTCTGGTCAATCAAGTATGAATTCAAAGATGGAAGTTTTTGTTTTTTTTTTTTTTCTTTTTCTTAAAATATGTTCTCCAGTTGCTGGATGAGATGTGTTAGTTCTGGAAAGAAGCCAATACTGGGCTTAGAGAAGAGTTAAAAGCCAATAGAGACATTACTTTTAATTATATTAAAAGCATCTTGTAAATTTCCCATCAGTTATAACATAAATTTCTCTCCATTAATCATTGAAAGACAAATGTTTGCAGTTTGGCCTACTGGGGCTAAAATCTGGATACAGAATATTGTCTGAATGTCTTTGAGCCTAGTTAGTCTAAGAGACACAAGTACACAATCACACAAATACACACACACATACACACAAAGGTACACTCATCTGAAGAAAGATAGGGTTTAAAATTAAGAAGTAGTTTGATATGAAGGGGGGAAGTGGGTGAGTATACATTAGTAGGACATTTGGGATCAGGGGTTGAAGTCAGTGATGGATGTTGACCATAGAAGCTGAAGTCAGTTACATTTCTTCTTCTGGGCTAGGTAGGGGGATGGGTAGCATGGTCAGGCTGAAAAATCAAGTCACAAGATTTAATTCCGGCTCTGCCATTAGCATCTTCTGTGACCTTGGTTAAGTCAATGTTTCTCCAGGATCTATTCTTGGACCAGGTTAGCCACTCAAAAATTTACCTATTTATTGCAGTGTGGTTCCTCCCAGACTTAACCTTCACTGACTTTCACTCTTAACATTATGCTCTTGGTTTTTATGAAAGGCCTTTACAAAGTAAATAAATAAATAAATTATTCCAAGTATTCTAATAATGAATCATTTTACTTCTAATATAAGTATAAATCTATACATAAGGCATTGGAGATGATATTTATTTTCTCTTTATGAAATTTCCACATGAAAAAAAATTCTCACAGAATTTAGTTGAAGGAAAACAGCCTCCTCTTCCTTTAACTTATCACAGAAGTTTTCTGTTAATAGCTTTCATATTTTTCCTGCTACCAGAATGCCCAAAGTTTCTTTTTTCTTTCTTTTTTGATTTAATAGAGTCTTGTTCAGTCGCCCAGTCATATCCGACTCTTTCGACCCCGTGGACTAAAGCACCCCAGGCTTCCTTGTCCCTTATCATCTCCCGAAGTTTGCCCAAGTTCATGTCCACGGCATCCGTGGATGTAGTCTTACTATATACATAATTTTGCAATACAAAGTTAATCATTTTAATATATGCCCATCAAGTTTTCTTCTGGGTAATTTTGAGATCACACTACACAAGGAATTTCGTGTGCCTCCTTTTTTGCACGATATCATGTTATCATTTTCCCATATCTATAGTAAAATTGCTTTGTGAGGTTTTTGTTTTTTCATTTTAAAAAATTTATTCTATGCTGGTTTTAGTTTTGTTTCCAGGACAGTATCAGTAAATTTGGTTGAATAATTCTTTTGGATATAGCCTTTTTTCCTATGTCCTTCCTAAACTTGCTATTTTCTGGGTTTTTTTAATTGAAGTATAGTTGATTTACAATGTTTGTGTTACTTTCTGGTATACTGTAAAGTGATTCAGTTACCCAAATACATACATATATATTCTTTTTCATATTTTTCATTATAATTTACTACAAAATATTGAGTATAGCTCCCTGTGCTATACAGTAGGATGTTGTTGCTTATCTTTTTTATATAAGTTACATATTGTGTCTGCTAATCCCAAACTCTTGGCTGCAGACCTGGTTCTCAGCTGCACTCCTCCGCAGTTCACCTCTAGCCATCTTAGAACCAGCCTTGTCAAGCGAACTTTGATCTCCATCATGTGTTGCCCAAGCGTAGACTTGGGTTCAACCATGAATTCCAAAACACAGCTGAGACCCGGTTTTCACACACGATACAATCACCTTTGGCTGAAAGCTGGGTGAAAGCATAAGGGAGTTAAAAAGCATGAGGGTTTTACACACACACACGCACACACACACACACACACACACACACACACACGGCTTACAGGACAACCTCCCCTTTTTTGCCCCCACCTCCCAAGAGGCCAGCAATAGGCAGCCAGCCCCTGCTGTTGGGAGAGCTGGGTCCCACAGGCCCCTCCTCTCAACCCAGAGACGCCAGGACACGCGGGGCAGGGGCCCCTCCTCAGAAGTCTGACTTCCATCTCCACGGGGCTCCTCTTTTACCAACTTAAGTTTTAACTCTTGTAGCCTCTTCTCTGTGGCCTCAGACCTAGTGGTGATAGTCCCTTCTTCGGGTTGCTACCCCCGTGAAGCCCTTTCAGTCACCTCGTTAACACTGCTTGGCCTAACTGATCACTCTTCCTGTGAAATTTCTATGAAATTCTCTTGGTTGTGGTTATGCCTCCTGACTGGGTCGTGAATGATGGCAGAGCTGAGACTCAACCCACGCAGGTTGGTGTCAGAGGCTCTGGCCCACCACCGGAATAGAGAAAAACACAAACAAAACAAAAAGCGAGTCTGTTCTCCCCCTGTCATCACCAGCCAGCCTCTTCTCACACGTGTTCTCAGGGATGCTATTTCACCCATGAGGACCGCAACCTTTGACCAAACTACAGAGCCCAATTCAGCGCCTCCCGGTCTCCAGCCCAACACAGGATGTGGGCTTTGACTTTGATTAACCTATAGGGTGTTTTTCCAAAACAAAAGAACTGTCAGCCCCTAAAGGCGCAATCAAGCCTCCGGCTCTAAAAACACAAGGCAACACTGACTTTGTGAAAAGAAAGCTGTTTTTCTTAGGTTTCGTGTATCTGGGCCCCAGTGCCTTAGGAGAGCCCAAGGTCAAGAGCTGTGCTTCTCAAGAACCTCTTCAAGGCAAAACACACTTTGAAGCACAAGACGTGATAAATGGGACAGTCTGAAACTGGGCGGCAAAGACCCAGTGCCCCCCTGAGCCCACCCTCACCCCCACAGCAGCAAACACCCGTGGTCATGGTAGTTTTACTGGGAATATTGACGTAGTTCATTAAAGCTGCTTTGGCAACGAATAACTGAAATGAACTAAATGATTCAACCGAGCTTAAGCATGAAAATGGACTTGGTTATTTGAACACAGTGGCAGATCACAAAACCTCAAGGTACATTTGAATGCTGCTGGGTTTAGAAAGGGACTAGGAGACATCTGGTCTCTCTTCTCCCTCATCATCCCTCCTGATGCTCTGATTTTTCAGATCTCTGTCATTCTATCTCTCCCCATCAGCTTTTCCAGCACACCTCTGCTCTGACATGAGGAAGGCCACTTAGGAGTAAGTCCTTGGGGGGACTAAACCTCTCTGGGTCTTAGGTCAGGGCCCACTCATGTTCCAATCAACTGCTTAGGGGTCAAGTTGGTGTTTTACAAAATAGGGAGGCAAGTTCTTTACTTGGGGAAGCAGAGGGCAGAAAAAGAGCAATCGTTAATTCAGGCAGGCCCTCCCTCTGACCATGAGGTTTCTACTGCTCTTATCCTGAACATCTCAGTCCTTATCTATCATTCAATTCCATGGCAGATATTAATTTTCAGGGAAAAAATCATTCACTGTCATCAGCTGTAATCTTCCAAATGCTTAAAGAAAATTAAATTTCTAACTAATACCGGAGTCTGCAAAACAACCACTTTGCATCCCATATTAGGGAAGGACAAAACAGAAAGTATAATAGGAGAGGGAAGGTTTACCAAGGCATTAGGTACCCTGTGGGCATAATAAACATTCAGCCAGATTTATTGTTATTATAAAAGGTACAATAGGTAGTCTCACAAGTAAAATACTTAATGTGATTATAATGTTTATAGCATATAATCCGGCAAAGAGCTTTGGGTAAGGGGAAAGGGAGGGGGACCGTGGTGATTGTGTCCTTGTTGAAAAACCCCCTTGGGGCTCACATCGCTGAGCAGGAAGAGACCCATCCCCCCAGGGTTGATCCCAAGGACCAGCCAAGAGCACAGACCACTTGAAATGAGGGAGGCTCCCAGTTCTGGGAGCCTGTTCTTCAGGAAAACTTAATTCTATTTCCAGCCTATGACTCCCCAGGCCCCCTTTTCTGTCCCTCAGACTCACACACCCCAGTGGGCATGTTGGTGCCCTTGGGACACCACTTTATCACCAGGCGGGATCTGGTCCACTCAGCTGAATCTGCCCTCCTGACCACATAACTCACCTCGGCGAGAGGAAGTCTGGCGGTCCCTCCTGGGGTCCCCAAGCATGGTTTGGACCCATTTACCCCAAGGCTCTTCTGGCCCAAGTAGCATCCTCTCAAGGCTTCACTCAGATTTGTTGGGGGACTCACCTGCTTCAGCCTGAAGGGGCATCTGCCGGGGCTCCCTTCCTCTCTGCTACTCTCATCAGGGGCAGGAGACTGGAAAGCTGCCAGGAGCAAAGACGAGGAAACAAGTTAGCCTGCAAGGGGCCTCCCAGTGCCGAATTTGAGTCCCAGCCCAGCGGTCCATCTCTCAGCAGCTGGAGAGGAAGAGGTTTTCCTCTACCCTTCTTGCTGCTTCCGGTTGGTCTAAGAATGAAATTGACATGAGACAGTGAAGGAGGAAACAGACAGAACAGGCTCCATCTTGAAAGCAGGACCCCCTCTTGGGCCGGCCTGTGGACTTTGAGCTATATGCCCAGTATCAATGGAAACGATATACCAACTGGAAAATCAGACCATGTCCCCAACCCCCCCCACCAACCCCCCCACAGGAAGAGCCCCAGGGCTTGTAGCTAGACTCTCTGTCACCTAAAAGAATACCCTAATTATCGGTGTAACCAAATAGAATCATAAATTCTACTATGCTTATTGGGGTAGGACCACAGGCCTATTGATGATTGTCCACTGTTAACTACCTAGGTTTAAGGAATAGGAATCACGGTTAACTCTCATTGTATCTTTCTTTTCCTTTGTTCAGACTAGTTTCAGAGAATTTAGGGAGGTGGGCTTGAGCATGTACATTTAGGGAATATAAGGTTTTCACAAAAACTGGTCGGGGTCCTTGGGGAGACTCTGCCTTGGGCCCGCCGGTGTAGTAAACTGCACTCCACTATTTGCATTGTCCTTCTGAGTGAGTTTGCTTCCCAGATTAAAGACTCAGAAATATGCATCCATGGGAGAGACCCAGGAAAAGAAAGTGACTCACCAAAATGGCCCAAGCCCTCACCTTACACACCATCTTCTGCTAAAGACAAAAGAGGCTGTTGAGGGTAGGGGTCTGGGACTTCAGAGGGGAGGAAGGAAATTCACATGGAGATGGAGCAGCAAATGTTTGGTAAATAAATGTTTGCTGGGCCTGCAGAGACAGTGGGACCCAGAGCGGACCCTGGTCTCTAGGGGTTCCCCCGACCACACTGAGTCCATACTTTCTGCTGAAGTATCTGGGGTAGCTCTATTCCAGGAACAGACTCTCTATGCAAGTTCTTTCAGGAAGTTAAGGAGAAGATCAAACTTTCTTCCAGAGTCAAGCCCTTAATTGTCCTGCCCCTCAAATAATTTTCGTAACAAAGAGGCACTGGGGCGGAGGGGTGGGGGGCTACAGTTCCAAATCAAAGTGTATAGTTAAATAAACCAAGCCTTTTCTTTCACTACAGGAAAAAGATAAATCAAAGATAGATGATAAACAGAAAGAAAGACAGACAGATAGACAAATATACATGACATATAAGTATCGCATATATGTATATATGATTATATACAGTATAAATATGTATATAATATATATGTCATATATATTGATCTTCCCTAGTAGTTTAGATGGTAAAGAATCTGCCTGTGTCAGGAAGATCCCCTGGAGAAGGAAACGGCTACCCACTCCAGTATCCTTGCCTGGAGAATTCCACTGGAGACAGGAGCCTGGCGGGCTACAGTGGGTGGGTTCAGAAAGAGTCAGACATGACTGAGTGACTAACACACACATATATATACATTAAATATGACTTCCCAGGTGGCGCTAGTGGTAAAGAATCCATGTGCCAATATAGGAGACACAGGAGATGTGAGTTCGATCCCTGGGTCGAGAAGATCCCATGGAGGAGGGCATGGCAACCCACTCTAGTACTCTTGCCTGGGAAATCCCACGGACGGAGGAGCCTGGTGGGCTACAGTCCCTGGGGTCACAAAGAGTTGGACGCGATTGAAGCAACTTAGCACGCACGCACCGAGAGAGGAACGGACACAAGAGAGAGGGTAAGATGGAGCAAGAACACCTCTCTGTAAAAACCTCCACAAAACGGAGGTATTGCTGTGAAGCCAATGACTGCTCAAACTCCAAAGCACTCTACATGACACGTTTCCAGTGTCCTCTTTTTACAGAGGGCTGAACAATTCTATTAACAAGATTAGCTTTGTCTAAACATTAATTAACCTTCATGAATACGAACACATGGCCAAAGTATATCCTCTTAAACCCTTGAGAACCAGATTCCTATCACTCCATTAAAAAGAGATTTATGCCAACATTGACACTGGCCTTGTGAGAAAGGCCAGACACAGTCAAAATCCTCAACTAATAAGGCAGCTTCCTTACCTTTAGGGAGCGATCCGTGGTCACACTTTTCTAAATTTGTTTTTTATTGAAAGAATATTGGTTTATAACATTATACAAGTTCCAACTGCACAACATTTTTTTTCTACTTCTGTGTACAAAACAGCATACTCCTCACCAAAAATTTCATTTCTAAGTGTTGGTTATAGTTTTGAATATTTTCCCGGCATTGTTCTTTCCTGCTTATCTGTCTTATTATGTTCAGGTCATGGCAGGGGAATAAACCCATAACTTAATAAGTAGATCTGTTAAAATTTCATTTAGAAACTCCTCAGTTTGGCTTTCTTACTAAATTCAAGTATATTGGATTTACTATCGTTTAATTGTGTCTGTATTTATCAACATTCAAGTTTTTAGAATACTAAGAAATACCCTTGTATTTATTAAGAGGATACAAAATAAAATTATAAAAATCTTCAGCATTTTTAAACATTTTACCATCAAGGGTATAATAAGAGGAATCTCGACTTCCTAGCCTGGGAGAGGAATGGCCCTTCTGTTTATTTCCTTTGAGACTTAAATGACACAACGTGTTATTTCACCCTGGGAAATTGTGAATTTTAAAGGGCAAAGTGTGTGATGAGTGCACTTTCTCAACCTATATTGTCCTATCGTCACTCAAAAAATTGCACTGACTGGGATGCATTCTCCTGTGAAGGACTCATAAACAGAACAATTTCCCAACAATATTGAATCACCAAAGGGTGAAAAGCTGATTATATTCTGATCACAGAAAATAAGTAAAGGTTCTTATTCTGTAAGTGAATGGAGATAAAATGGTTAAAATGTCATCAGACAGCTCCGATCTCCCTCCTTTCATGAAAGCATAAGAAAGACAGGAGGATAACTTAGAATTTTCCATAAAGTGAAGATAGGATGATGGGTTCAAGAAGGAAGAACCCCCAGGCAAGATTTATAATAATGGGAGAAGCCATGAAAACACTACATGGGCACACATAAAGTAATTTCCTTATATCATAAGGCAATCAATATTACTGCCTGGAAAATGGATGGCAATCAGAATGTGAACAAATATCATAGAATATTTGGGAAAGAAAGAGAGGAGAAAGTGTTAGGCACCAACTGGAAGAAGAGACATTCTAGGGGACAGGAACAACAATAAACTGAAACTCCATTGCTTCAAAATCATTTTCTTATTATCTCTTTTATGCTCCAAAAGAGCTATGAAACAGAGTCTAGTCACTCATTTCTTGTTAAAGAATGGATTCCAGAGGCTTAGTATGATGTGTAAAGTGTGACAAGGCTAATAAGGAAAAAGTGAGACAAAAAAAGAAACAAAGTGGGACTTCCCTGGTGGTCCACTGGCCAAGACTAATCACTCCCAATGCAGGGGGCCTGGATTCGATCCTCGGTCAGGGAACTAGATCTCACATGCTGCAACTAAGACCTGGTGCAGACAAATAAATGAGTAAATATTTTTAAGAAGAAGAAATAAAGCCAGGGTAGATGCTTTGTGAAGTCAGTCAATTATTAGTATTATTGCTCTGTGACCTTGGAGATGGTCAAGCAGGTCTTAAGTCAACTGCAAAAACTGGTAGATTCGATCATTTGACTGGTGCTCTTTCTCTTAAAAAATTAACAGTTACCAATGGGGGCAGGCCTTAACAGTAACACATAGAATAGTCTGCACGTTCTCTTAAAGGAATTTAGATATTTTGCAGATTTACTTTCGCATACTTTTTACACAGCCACTTGAATTATGGTCATCACACAAAAGTCACTCTAAGTCAATGAAAAGATCTCCTATGAAACAGTCTTGTGAAAGCCAATTGCTCTGAGGGGCTCTCACCACTACCTTCATCCTTCTGTGTGTTTCTCCCCAGACCATAGATTATTTCCGTGCTCTGTCATGAATACAGATGACTCTGTGCTCCTCCTCTGCGATCTGGTAGCTTTGTGAGATGTTGCTACTGGGCAAGTTTGGGGAGTAAGATGAGTGTGGGGTGTGTGATCACGACAAGGAGAGGTAGTGAGCAGTGCTTCATAAGGAGGCAGCCTGCTAGAGAGGTTAGCAGTGAAAGGCCTGGAATCAGAAGGCTGTACACAGCCCTGCTTTACCCCTTGGCATATGATCCTGGGCAAGTTACTTTTCCCCTCTGCCGTTCCTTTCTTCACGTGTAAAACAAACAAAAAAAAAAGGCAATAGCCGCCTCATTCAGCAGAATAGAGCGTTAAAAGAGATAATACATGAAAGCATTTAGAATAAGGTTTGCTGCCAAGAAGACCCCACAACTATGGTATAAGTGCTAAAGTGACTTTTTCTGAAAGAAGAAGTTTAAATTGCTTCCCCTGTCACCTAATATGGCGAAGGGGTGGGCGGAGACCCTCATGTTGAAAAGCCATCTTCCCCTCACCCACCCTTCCTTGTGACCAGCTAAGCAAGTGGGCAGCATTTCTCAAAGAATACTGGAAAGAAAAAAAAAAAAAAGACTTCCAAAGAAATCGATTGATTAAAACTTAGCACTCAAAGGCTCCACTTTGAACACAGGTAAAAACAAAGGCCAAAAGGATCGAGGTTAAAGGACTGACTACAACCAACAAAGAGGAGGTAAGAGCTCTTTTAAAGAGATGAGTTGGCCTGCCCAATCTATTTTCTTCAAAGGAGGAGAAAGCTCATTCAGAAGCCTCAAGCTCTTCACACCACACCTTCTGCTAAAGCCACAAGCACAGGATACACCTTCCAGAAAGGATCACAGAAAGTGAACATCCAGGAGACAGAGGAAGAGGTCCTGGAGGTTCCTCATCCCCAGTGTAACCCTCCCTCCTTCCCTACTCTCAGCCACGAGTCTTCTCTGAAGTCATCTCGGCGTGAAAGCT